TCGGCACAGGCATCGTATCGTTCGCCACCGAGAGATAGTTTGTGTCGCGCCCCCGATCGCCGCCATTCATCTCCATCGTTTGCCCGTCCAACTATGGAAAAACAGTGGCAAAAGAGTGATCACCTGTTGCTAGGGAATAAAATAATCGGCGGACAGTGCGTCACATGGGGAATTATTTTCGTTATATTCCGCCCCCCCCCCCCCCGAATATATACACATATAGTATCGGCGGATAAAATTTTTCGACGTACGGCCGCGCATTCGTATCGACGATTACATTATTATACGAGATATATGTATATATATGTATACACGTATATACACACGTATACGCGCGCGTGATTTTCCGTGTACGATAAATCATGGACGAATCCGGGATAGGAGGGGAGGGGAGGCGACGTTGGTGGAAAAAACGAGAACGCGTCGAAACGCGGGGGATAAACGATCCGTTGAAAATTATACCGGCATATTCGACCGGGTATCAACCCGCGCTTTTATTGTCCCGAAATGTCTGGCGCATCGATCAAAATCCCGTGCAAAGCATCGCATTACTGCATCCCGATACCGAATCGAATAACCGTCGGATGATGAAAGGGCGGCTTTTAAAAAAAAAATTGGTGTAATTGTGTCCGGAGAATTTGAAGAATCGTCGAATTGTTGGTGAATTAAGAACGGAAGATAGAAAAAGAGGAAGAAGAAGAAGAAGAAGAAGAAGAAGGAGGGAGAATTAATAAATCGACGATCGACGAAGAGAGAGAGAGAGAGAGAAGTTTTGGTGACGCGTGGGAAAAGAGGGTGTCTCCTGCAAGAGTTAATGAGCATAATCCCTGTCACCCTGACGAGCTGAGATTAGAAGAGGATCCCATCCGGACGACGAGGAGGACGACGGACGGGATCGTGCCACCTGTGTCCTGGGTGCCGGGTGGTGGTGTCCTGCGGCGTGGCACACCTATTCAAAACCGAGGAGAAGAGAGAAGAGAGAGAGAGGGGGGGAGGAGGGGAGGGCAGTTCTCTCTCTGTACACGGGAGAGTACTGTTTGCCAAGGAACAGCGCGGAACAACCGGTGGATGGAGATGGTGGCAGAAAGAGAGGAGGCAGAGAGTCGCGCGAGTAAGAATAACCGCTTGGCAAACAAAGGGTCCACCGCGATAACGAACCTGTCGACGCGGGCCTCGAACTCGTTCCGAACTCGTTTCCGTTCTCCTGGGTGGGGAGAAAAATCGTTAACTCGTTGCACCTAGGGTTGCAACAACGCTCTTGCAGACGCGCCGATCGTGCTTGGCGGATTTTCGGCCGCTGGAAATTTTCGACCGGATTTTTTTCTATAACTCTCGCTCGTGGATCGTGGACGAGCTTCTTGCAGGGAGTGGGGGGGGGGGGGAATTTCTTTCTCGAAGGAAAGGAAGATTTTAAGGAGGGAAAATATTCGGGGAATTCGGGATCGAAGAATCCCGAAGAAGAAAAATAATAATCCAAAGATTGAAAGTAAATCGAGTTTTATTTGAATATGAATACAGAAGGGAGTTTGTACAATTTTTTTGTATCGATACAAAATCGTGCGTGTATTTATACCGAATACGTGCATATTTTCAATATTGTATAATCATCGGATAGATCTCGAAAACGTGAGATTCTCCAAACGCGGCGTTTTGCGGTCCACGAGGTGTTCTCTTTCGAGGTAGGGACGAAATTCGAGGAGCCGTTTCTCCCACGATTATTTCCTCGCTCCGGAGGCGGGCTCGAATAGCAGAGGTCCAGAGATGTCCTTTCGAGATGACCGCTGCGAGATGGTGAATGAAATTCCTGGCCGCCATTCACCTCGACCTCGTCTTGCTACGAGATCATCGATAACCTTCTCGTATTTATTCCCGTGTCGTCAACTTTTTTCTCTCCTCCCTCATTCCGTTTTGCAAACTTTTCTCCCAGAAGGAAACTCTCGAAACTCTTGTGCACGATGCTTCCTCAAAAAAAAAAAAAAAAAAATACGTATCCCTTTAAAATCTCAGGAAAAAAGAAAAGAAGATATTAGATATTTAAACAAGATTTCATACGATCTTTACATTCGTTTCTCGCGAAGGGAAAGAAGATTGTCGAGCGAAAAAAATCGATGGAAAAGATTTGGCAAAAATTTCCATCGGAATTTAGGCGAGTGTTGAAAAATTGTCAACGATCTCCGCGTGGATGGTAAATTCCATTCCGAGGCTGGGAATTTAGCGCGTATTTCCCGGTATTTTGGCGATCAGGTAGCAGCAGGCCGGCTTTCCATTCACAGCTTCCCACAGGTTCTCGCAGTTTCCACGAAATGGCTTTCCACGCGCGGCGAAGAAAAGGGCTTGCAGCGGTTGTGAAACCGGTGAAAATATCGGATCGCCTTCGTTTCCACCGTCTTTGTCTCATCGGGTCCCTCCTCTTTTTTGCTGGAATAACGAGCGAGCGGGGGGGCAAAATCGGGAGCGTTGTTGGATCCTCCTCGTCGTTGGTTCCAGGGGTCGTCGAACCGAGAGAGTGGTGTGGAGGGTGAATCCCTCGAATTAAGGAACGACGAAGAAGAACAAGAAGAGGCGAGGAGGAGGAGGAGGAAGCTGTGAAAAGGAGAAGAGGAGAAAAATATAGGAGAAGGAAAAAAAAAAATAAAATAAAAGTGAAACGATTTCGGTAGCGGTATCGTGTTACCACTCTTTTTGCCCCTCGTACCTGAAATTACCTGGAGTCGCAAGGCGATTCCTACGCCCCTGTTCGATGGCCGGGGGTGAAACGGAGGGAAGGAGAGGCGGCGGGTCGAGAGAGACAAGGGAGGACATGCGATCGGTCGACAGCTATACCGAGAGAAGAAGGATGTCTCTGGAAGGGTGCCACTACGCTCAATCGTAACTCGTTAACACGGCCATTGAACGAACGGCGGATGAAACGGCCACGATTCTTGTCTGGTTGGAAAAAAAAAAAAATAGAAAGAAAGAAAGGAAGGAAAAAAATAAAGTAAAATAAAATAGCGAAAGGTAAACAATTTTCTGGTCGATTCAGAACCACGTGATTTCCATTGTGAGAGGAGTCTAGTCTAGATAGTTTGGAGGAATGGATATCGAGAAACAGGGGGAGGGGAGTAGTAATCCTTTATTTTACCCTTCCTTCTCTTTCTCCCGTTTCATTCCGTTTTATTATTCCGCGAAACGGTGGAGAAATCGATAGAGAGGTTAAGGAGATAGATAGATCCTAGGATGGGGAGGGAGCAGCACGATCAATTCCCAATTTGTCTTTCACTTTTGACGGGACGGAATTCCTGGCCGGATTATCGAAAGTGTCGAATGAAAGGGCTCGGCCACAGAGGCATTACCGAGTCGAGAGGAGAGGAGTCTATTGAAGGACAGCGGTGTCTCGATTGCAAGTTCAACGATTCCGGTGTATCGACCGGTCCTTAATGGCCGGTCGAATGGTAAATGGATCCAAACAGCGGCTAATCGTGTGCCTGCCTCTTATGAATCAGCGCGCTGGAAGCCATCCCTCTCCACGTCATTGAATCCCGGCTGAAACGCGAATCTGAGAATGCATCGGCGGCGCATCGGCGTGATCAACGGTAACGCTCTCGAAACAATTTCGAAACGGGAATTTTATTAATTTCGAGTCGAGTGATTGAAATATTTTTCAAAAAAAAAAAAAAATAATTTCGTCCTGTAAACAAGAGTTGTTCTAATCGATAAAAATCGATGTGATGAGATTAAAAAAGGAAAGAAAGAAAGAAAGAAAGAAAGGAAAAAACAGAAGGGGAAAAAAGTGATTAACGCAGACGACGAGAAAGAGGAAAAAAAAATATAGGAGAGGAGAAAGGAATAAAAAAGAAAAGAGGTTAAAGGGGGGAGAGAAAAAAGAGCGGAACGCAGGGGCGAGCAACGCCCCCGTCCGCCGACGTATCGCGTTCTCCAAGAGCAGATGTTCCCCAATTCTACCGAGTTTCGGCACGGGCTGATTGACAGTTGAATAGCCTTGGCCAAGACTACCTGGGGACTCGTGGTGTCCTTACATCCTTCTTCCAAACTGCATGTAAGTAATCGTTAGTCGGTGTAATGCCAAACCGTTAGCCCTCATCGAGGCCTTGTTACCTATTATCGAAACATCCATATATTCTTGGTCGTAAACTAAACGGTCCAATAATCCCTGCACATCAATTATAGAATATTACCCTCCAGTTCTTCATAATTCTTCATTCCCAATAAACACTTGCGCACGGAAGAACGGTAATAAAATTTTAAGCTGCCGAGCACCTTGTTAAAACTTTGTATGGAAAATAGAAGGTCGTAGAAAGGTGAAAGGAAAACTTTCTATTTCGAAGGATTAACTCGAAACGTCGTGTGTCGTGGCGACAACGCTTATTATTCAGAAGAATCACATTTTGAATTTTCGAAGAATAGAAGAACGTTATTTATTACGGCGCTACTATTGGTTCTTCGACCATGGATGGTATGGAAAGATTCTCGATCGAAGATCGTTATTATCCGTTGCGATTCGACATGTCGAGGCGATTTCCTTTGTTCGAGGAACCACGATAAACTGACATAATCGAAGGGTCGATGTTCGGCTGGCTTACGATATGTCTGAGAGCTCATCGGACTGCAGGGCGCTCGATATGCGATAACCGATAAGCCGCCAAGTGCACCCGGTGTCACTGGATATACGGACATCGCGATATCTCTATCTTTTCTCGCGATCAATTGCAACGTTGGTAAACGTCCTTATCTCGCACTTGGATCCCTGCCTTCCATATACCTATATAATATCTATCTCTATTGATTGCGTTTAAATTTCCATACGAAATCCATACGCTTTACACGCGCCGATATGGAAACGAGAGTCCGGCCAACGTATCGAGAGACTTCCCATTATTACGATTATCCTCTGGCGCGAATAAAGAAAGAAAGATGGGAAAAAAATTATTTCACCACGAATCCCTCTCTTTCTCTCTTTCTCCCCTTTGCCCATATAAACCAACGTCGACGATTTACGGAAGAAAAAGAAGAAATAGAAGAAGAAGAAGTAGAAGAAAAAAGGAATAGGATGTAAAGAGTGTAGGTACGACGCCATTGAGGAAGTTTCCTCCAACGAAAAGCGTGTAGAATTCAGGACACGAGAACGTGGCAAGAAACTCGGGCAAAAATGTTGGAGCGCCGATGCAAAAATACATATATATAGGGGGAGGGAGGTTGGACGAGAGAGAGAGAAAGAGAGAGAGAGAGAGTGGATGGTGGTTACACGCGAGAGGAGAGGACGTTTAACGTGGATGGCCTCGGGGGTATAGTAGACGTTGCTCGGCGATAGCAATGTCACGGTGGCCACCGGAAATAGCCGGCACTATCAGCCACCCCGCCGGAAGAAGCGCCGTCACCGCAGAAAGAGTTCCAATCTTCTATTCAGCACGTTCTTCTTCGCCCTCCTCCTCCTCCACCCATCGTATTCTTCCTCTCTCTCTCTCCTCTTTTCCGCCGTGTCCACCCCTCGCTTCCTCCCCCTCCCTCTATGCACGGCGGTCTCAGTGTGTTGGGCCGATACAACGTCTCGACGAGAATGGACCGGAGCCGTTTCCACCCCAAAAAGAAGGACGAAAGGGGTGGTAGAAGATGGCCGGAAGCACGAAAGAAAGCAGATGCCCCGACAACCCCGACTTATCTACGCTACCCCCTATCCTGTCCTTCTTTTTCTCCTCTCGTGCTTCCTCACACCCCTCACGCCACCTTCTTTCCTGCCGTCGAATATTTCCGTATCGTAGATCGGACGTTTGTGGAGGATGCGTTGTTTCTGCGGAGAAACCACCCTTTCCATTAACTCGCGATTTATTATCTTTATTTAGAGAAGATTATTAGAGATTCGGGAAACGTTCGATCGAAAACCACCCCTTTCTCCCACTCCCTCCTGAATAACGATTTCCCATTTTCCTCGCTCCTTCGCCTCGAGCCTTGGGTTCCGGGCGTTTATATTTGTATTTATTTCGCGGGGTGAATGGGGTTCGGTTGACAGGGAAGAACGATTAAGATTAAAAATCGTTTTTTCGGGATTAATTCGCTACGCGGAGGAGATGGAGGGCGTGGAGGCGCGACTTGTCTCTTTTTTCGTTTTCCAGCAAACCCATTGCCGAGTAAGTAGCCGAGCTACTACTAGCTGGAAGCTGCGGGGTGATACATCATGGGGTGTCAACGAGTGTCCCCGCCGCTGTAATCTCGCATCCATCAACCCCTCCGCAGGACGAAGGGACGTCCGTCCTTACGACGACGACGTTTCCCTGATCGATGTCCACGAAAGCAACCTCGAAGCAGCAACCTCACCTACGACGACCTTTGCACGAATTTCCCCCTCCCCCCTACCCCTCTCCTTTCTCTTTCTCCCTCCTCGTCAAGGATCAATCGGTTTTTTCTCGGCGGACTCGATTTTCATTTATCTTTTCCTATCTGAAGGCTGGCATCGTCATCGTGACACCCTTGCTTCCTCGGTGTTCTCTGACCCCTTTTCCATCTTGAATTTTCCTATTCCCAATGGAAATTTCCTATTCGACGGATTATTGCTGTAAATATTTTCATAAATTGTATACCGTTACCGATGTTCGTGTAATTGTTCGTGCAGATGTTTTAAAGATGGATGGAAATGAAGGGAGGGTAATAAAGAGTAATAAATCATATTGACTCGAGGAGGATTTAAGAAGAAGAAAATAGAGAAATCGTTTATATATTGTGGAATATTTTGTACTGAACAGTAATTAAAGGTATAGAAATTTATTAGTTGGTTGTAATACGTGAATGAGCGATCTATAACCGCCATAATAACTTACAATAACTTAAAATGTGGAAACGGTATTCTTTTTCCCCGTTAAAGAGGTGATTCCATTATTTGTGATAAACCGGAATGGTCCATCAATCGTTGCAGTAAGTAATAAAATTTGTCAGTTTATTTTAGTTGGAGAACAGGTATAAAGAAAACAATGAAGAGAATGGAAGGAACAGATAAACGGTTTACATCTGTGCACGTGTCCGTTATTAATTGCCATTCCATGAAGTTAGAATTAGGGGTAAGGATTATATATCCCTTTGCCCATAAATATCTATCATGATAGATATATTGATTTGAATGGATAATTGGCCAATTGCATTCTTCACGGATAATCTCCCTTTTAACTTTCTTACCTACGAGATTATCAACTACCTGATAATAATATTAACTGTAACTGAAAAAAAAAAAAAGGAAAAAGAAAAATTGGTGAATAAAAGTCCCGTTTCTTTCCGTTTATTCAACTCCGATCTCTGGTTATTTAAACAATTACCGAAACGATTAATTCAACCTGTTGTACGAAACAATGACGGAAAACGAGCAGAAAAATCCGACGATACTTGAGAGATAATTATTTTTCAACGAGCGTTAGAAGCGTTTGTTAATATAATGTCGCTTCGACCGACTTGTCGAAACTTCCCTTTTTCTCCCCCGTCCCTCCCCCTTTTTTCTCGATTCGCCCGCAAAAATATTAGCGAACAACGTATTCTTTTTGAGGCTAGACGGAAAGGGTTGGGAAAAAAGAGAGAGAGAGAGAGAATAAGGAAAAGGGGAAACAAATTTTTCGGCGCAGCGAAAACGACGAAGTCCGGGTGGTTCCCTATTTTATTTCCACCTCGCAACTACTCGACGTACCACGAAATTATTAAAATGGTAGACCGTTCAAGCATCGCACAAGTGGCGCGCACGGGCGGGCCGAGTTTTTCACCGGTGCTTGGCCAAAAAATTCGGCGCGTATTACCCAAAAGCCGACGGCGCAGGCGCCATTTTCGCCCACGCCGCTTGACCCTGAATTATTCAAGAACTCGAAGACCCGACGAGGACTTCATAAAAATTGCAGCCACCGTGATTGCCGTGGGTTTCGCTCAGCTGAAAGGTAGACGGAGAGAAAAGACCTCCTCCTCGTCGACCAAGGCGACGAAGGCGAGGAGCAGCAGGAGGAGGAGGACGAAGAGGCACGCGAGATCCCGCGCCACGCTAAGTAAAAGGGTGGAAGAAGGAGAGAGAGGAGTTTTTCAAATTTACCCCTGGCCTCTGATGATCGACGCCATCTTCCTTCATTCACCGACCGCCTTCTTTTTAACGTAGGGCCGGTTGTGTGCGTGCGCGCGCGAAATAGGGCGATTAAGTATGTCGCGCGAGGGATGCCTACGTGAAACAAGCCTTGTCTATAATTCAACGATAAACAGGGACCGGGCAAACATTCGAGAGAGGGTTGAAAGCGTGTTTGTTTGCACGACGTGAACGAAGAGAACGAAGGCCTCGTTGATAAATACGATATCAACGTCGGTTCCTTCGAGTGCAACGTATTCTCGGAGAAGCTGGAGGAACGTCGTTCGTTATCGTCGATTCTTTGCCTCGATGGCAAGAGATCTCGCCTTAAATTCTCGCTTCTTTCGGATTTTTTGGAAAACGAGAAAACGAAAAAAAGATTCGAGAAATACGTGTGCGACACGATCGATCGGTCGAAATCTCTCCCCTCGTGTCACCAACCCCTTAAGCCCCGCAAACCCACCCACACGATATGTAAAGGGTGTGTTTAGAATCTAACTAAGGGGATTTTAGAGTAGCGATTCGTAACAGTCGCCGTTACGTACACGGTATAATGCGGAAATCGTGTCGCGGAAGTCAAACTATGCAGGAAATAAATATTCCCTTCGACGACCAAGGAATTCCTGCTGTGTTTTCTTACGAGCGAAAAATCCCGCTTCTAACAATGATGATTTCGTGATTAAAAAGAGGTTTTTTTTTTTTTAATTCTCGATTAGAAATCCAATTTTTGTTCAATCAATGTTCATAACGATAATCGATAATTGTTACTTCGGTCATTCCCTTACGAACGAGTATAAAATTCCTTGGAGCAAACACCGAGGATATTTTTAGAGTTTAGAAAGTTTAACGTTGAATAATGTTGCTCCCTTGGGAAAAAGGGAGATGGAAGAAGGGGGTGGTTGGCCCTCCACTGCGCTCCCCCACGGGTAATAAAACGGCAATTTAATTCATACACTTGATAAAGCTGGCCAAGTTTGGGAAGCTGGCGAAAGTCAAACGAACAGAAGGGCTTATTTTGCAAATCATCACCCCGCGGTAATAAAGTTTCCCGAGTCGAGACGAGAAGAGAACCGCAAGAGAACAAAGATGAACCTGGCCACCCTTTTCACGTTATTGTCGCCATAAATCTTCCCTTCCGAATTCTATTACCTTTTCGAATTTTTTTTTTTTTTCTTTTCTTTTGACCTTATTCAAACAAAACTTCCTTCCTCGAAAGATTAAATTCATCCCGTCCGATAAAAGATGAATCGAATTCGAATTTATATTTATATCGATTAAGTGGAGGAGCGAAAGTGGAGGAGCGTGGAGAGCATGATTTGAAACTGAAATCGTAAATCAGCGAGGAGAGCATATCTCGCGCAAATTGAGAACCCATGGCAACGGGTCCGGCTGGGCCGCTTCGCACAGGGGTTGAAACGAAGGTGAAGGGGGTTTTTCAGGGGTGCTCGCAGGGTGGTTAGTGGCATTCATCGCGATGCAGATGGCTTCCACCCCTCACGCCGCCTCGACGGAGGGAGAGAGAGAGAGACACGAGGGAACGAGAGGGAGACAGGGGTTGGATGCTGCGCGTATACGCACTTTTTCCCGCGTCTCTCTCCTCCTTTCCTACCTTTTTCACCCTCTTTCATCCGCTCTCCACAATCCTTCGCTCTCTTCTTGTTTCTTCTACTTTATCCTCTTTACCCGTCCATTCTCCTCTTTCTTCTCAATTCTCTCCTCGTTTTTTCTCCTTGGCCTTGCAATTTCGCGTAATATGCGCATTACGCTCGCCCTATCTATCATATTTTCGCTCTCTTTCTCGCTATTGTCGTCCATGGAAGAATTAATTTTTTCGCAAAGAAAAAAAAAAAAAGAGAGAATGAAAGAAAGAAAGGAAACAAAAGGGGATCGAGGAAGAAGCAAACTTCGATGATTCTTGTCATTTCGAAATTTTATTAAAATTCATTCAATTC